TGTTTCGTTAATCAGACACATGACATCTAGACTACATTTAGGATAGACTGGCTGCTGCCGGTCTCTTTGGTGAGAATTGCAAGGCTGGACATCCGGTTCTGGAATCTCTAAGGGTTTGATCTCCCGAGATTGAAATCCCAACTTGGACTGTGGGTGCCTGCAACTCTAAAGGGGGTTGGCTGCGCTAGTTCTTTTTAAGCAAGAGTCAAGGGAACAGCTGTATGGAGGTTTTGTATAAATGTAGGCTGGGATTATTTATCTTGCGTGTGGCCATTTCATGCGAAGAAACTTCTGTAGGAGCTGTCAGCTTACACATGCAAAATGAGATGGCTAGCTGGCTTCTCATGCAAATCCTCCGTCTCCTAGCAACAGAGTCCTCTCTCCTTCAGGCAGGCAGATGATGATTCAAACATATCTCCGTTTTAACTAGCTCTTTTGCTGTCAGATGAGGATTTAAATCATATCTCTTTTCACTTGGCAGACAGATAAGGATTCAAACACACATCTCTGTTCTTTCATTATCTCTTTACACTTTAGACATGCAGAGGAGGATTCAAAATCGTATCTCTTCTCTCTTTTTACTTTAGACATGCAGAGGAGGATTCAAAATCATATCTCTTCTTTAAGAAATTATCTCTTTTTACTTATGTGTTGGGGTCAGATTATGAAATGTAATAATAATAATAATAATAATAATAATAATAATAATAATAATAATAATAATAATAATAATAATAATAATAATAATAATAAATAAAAAAAGTTGGAAGGGACCTTGGAGGTAATCTAGTCCAATCCCCTGCTCAGGCAGGAAACCCTATACCATTTCAGACAAATGGCTGTCCAGTCTCTTCTTAAAAACTTCCAGTGTTGGAGCATTCACCGCTTCTGGAGGCAGGTTGTTCCACTGGTTAATTGTTCTGTCAGGAAGTTTCTCCTTAGTTCTAGGTTGCTTCTCTCCTTGATTAGTTTCCATCCGTTGCTTCTCGTCCTGCCTTCAGGGGCCTTGGAGAATAGCTTGACTCCCTACAGTAACTGTGAGTTAATGTTTAGAGCAGACATGTCAAACACAAGGCCCGCGGGCCAGATGTGGCCTGCAAAATGATTTCATGTGGCCCGCGAAGCCATCCTGGAAACAGTGAGGGAATGGCCCCCGCTGCCTTGGCCCTCCAATGGACCGTGTGAGGCTCCTCCACTGGACCATGCCTTGACACTTGCCCTGGTCCCACCCCCTTCTGCCAGAGACCCTCAGATCTGTCCCACTCCTACCCAGGCCCCCACAGGCACCCTTGACGCGAACGATTTAGAGCTGGTCATGCCCACGCAGTAGGCCACACCCACTGCATCCACGCCCACCCAGTAGGCTGCACCCATCCTGGCCACACACACCCCTGAAGGCAACCGCAAGGCTGATGTGGCCCTCAGTGAAATTAAGTTTGACACCCCTGGTTTAGAGAACGCCTGATCTGCATGAAACCCTGCCGTGGAGTTTATCTGCCTGCATCAAGCAATAGCCAGCAACCCCCTTGCTTGATACAGAACAGTAAAAAGAGATAGAAGCGATATGATTTTGAATCCTCCTCTGCATGTCTCCTTTTATTCTTGTTTTTCCATTGTTTAGAGAGAGCTGCCACTTCCTTGATGACAATCTCCTTTGCATTTGTAAAGATGGGGGGGGGGGTATAGTCACAGAAAGCTGCCCATGTTGCTTGATGCTTAACAATTAGTCTCTTGAACATGAAACGTAAAGCGAATCACGGAGAATAATAAAAAACCAAAAAGCTATCAGAGAACATTTTACCGAGAGGCTGCCGTAAGAGGCCCATTCTTGAGGGGGAAGGAGAGAGGCCATACCATTCCTGTATGCAACCCTCCCCTCAGATTCCTGTTAATATCTTCTATGGCCATGGTGGCGAATCTATGGCATGCATGCCACAGGCGTCATACAGAGCCGTCCCTGTGGGCACGCGCACCATTGCCACAAAGGGATGCAGGGCTGGGCTGCTCCCCTCCCCCTCTCCACGCATGCGGAGTCCGGGAACAGTGGTCAACCATCGAGGGAAGCAGGAGGAGGTGGAGGGGCAGCCGGGAGACAGATCTCGCGCACTGGCTGCCCCTCCTGCTTCCCTGCATGGTTGACCCCTCCAGTTGGAGCAGCAGCAGAAGCCGCCCCCCCTCAGAGCTGTTGATTGGATGGGCCCAGGCAGGGCAAGGACTTCCTTCCAGCCGTCCCCGGGCCATCTCCGCCTGCACTGATGGGGCTCCGTGGCCAATTTGCCATTATGCAGGACAGCCAGCAGGCTGTGGCTGCTGACCGACATCGTCAGTCCCCATGCGCACACTGGGCTCTGTGTGTGTGTGGGCCGATGGTGTCAGGCAGCAGCTGCTCCAGCCCGCCTTGCCTTGCCTTGCCCCGCGGCAATTGGAACACCCGCCCTGCCTCACCTCACTCCGCAGGACGAGCCTCCGGCCCACCGCCCCACCCAACAGAAACCCCTTGGATCTCCCCCAACCCTGCCCAGACCCCGCAGGCATCCCTCCCCACAAGCATCATCGAGGTGGCCATACCCACTGCAGCCACGCCCACCCGGTGATAAATAAATGGGTTTTGGGTTGCAGTTTGGGCACTCGGTCTCTAAAAGGTTCGCCATCACTGTTCTATGGCATAGAAATGAATATTTTGTATTTTATTAGCAGAAAGCATTTTGAAAGAAATCCAATTGCTATACATAAAAGGAAATATGTGCAGTTTTGCAATTTTTCCTTCAAACACTTCCTTTATTGATATAGTTTCTCCTGAGTGTGGCTCTTTCTATGACGAGTAAGAGTGCAACTCCTGGCAAAGCTCTTCCCACACTCCATGCATTGATGTGGCTTCTCTCCAGTGTGGCTTCTCTTGTGCGAATTAAGACTACTGCTACAAATAAAGGTCTTTCCACACTCTGTGCATTCATATGGTCTTTCTCCTGTGTGGATCCTTTTATGGGTGATAAGAGCAGAATTCCACCTAAAGTCCTTTCCACATTCCATACATTTATATGGCTTCTCTCCTATGTGGACCCTCTTGTGGGAATTAAGACTAGTGCTACGAATAAAGGTCTTTCCACAGTCCAAGCATTTATAAGGTCTTTCTCCTGTGTGATTCCTTTCATGTCTTATAAGAGAGTTATAATAACAGAAGGTCTTTCCACACTCCGTGCATTGATATGGCTTCTCTCCTGTGTGAATGCTCTTGTGGGAGGCAAGATTATTACTGCTCCTAAAATTCTTTCCACACTTTGTGCATTGATATGGTTTCTCTCCTGTGTGGACCCTGTTGTGGTAATTAAGACTACTGCTACAAGTAAAGGTCTTTCCACACTCAATACATTGATATGGTCTTTCTCTTTTGTGAGTCCTTTCATGACTTCTAAGAGAGCGATTATTACAGGTCTTTCCACACTCCTTGCAGGTATATGTTTTCTCTTCTAAATGTGTCTTTTTATGGGAAATGACTTGATCAGATTTATTAAAGCTTTTTCCACACTCCATGCATTTATATAGTTCTTCTCCTGTATCAATGCTTGTAGAGTTAGGAAGCCGACTGACCCGAGGAAAGCCTTTTTTCATTCCACCTTGTGATTGATTTGTTTCATCACTCTTTGGTTGCATCTGATCTGCAAACTTCCCTTTTCCCTCTTTTGATTGGCTCACTTGGCATTTCTCCTTGCAATTATTATTCCCTTTCCCAGTAAAGCCTTGAAAAAAAAAGAAAAGAAAACTGTATCAAGAATAGGGGAAAAAATCAAATCTTTTCTTCTGAAATTTAGCCAAAGAATCAGCAATATATTTTGGATGTTTTGTTGGCAAATGTGAAGATTCCAAACTAAGATATTAGAAAAGACCCATTTCCAAGTGGATTTCTACTGATCCTCATTTAAAGAGTTTGGGTCACATCAAAACAAACCTAAGACACAACCGTGATCTAATCTTTGACCTGGGACTATTCCATGGTGCCACAAACTCCTGAAGTGCATTGGACACTGTATCATGCTAGGTCAACAACATACTCACCAGCTCCCCAACTTCAATGAAACTCTCATCTCCACTTGTCTGCACGGAAGAATCTTTCAAAGCTAAGGGGAATTCCTGGATGGCAATAGCTCCCCACCCTCAACTTAGGCTAATGGTAAACTCTGTACACAAGTGGGCACATCTCTAGGAAGGGAACATCCCTGTCAGGGCTAAATCCAGTCCTGCTTATAGCAGCTCACGCCCATCGGGGAGCCAGTGACCAGGGTCAGGAATGGATACTGAACCCCTGGTAGGCAGGACCTTGGCTCAAGAGAGGCCACACCATCCCTGCATGGAGCCTGTCCCTCAGATTCTGGCTAATATCTTCTATGGCATGGAAATCAATATTTTCTATTTTGAGAAGAAAGCTTTTTTTAAAAAACAAACCATTTCCTTTATGTAAAAAGGAAGGCAAGGCAGTTTTCCAATTTTTCTTCCAATAAATTTCCTTCTTCCATAAATTCAGTTTGGTCAAACGGTTAAGGCACCAGGCTAGAAACTGGGTGACTGGGAGTACTAGTTCTGCCTTAGGCATGAATGCTGGCTTGGGCCAGTCTCCCTCAGCTCAACCCAGGTCAGAAGGTTGTTGTTGTGGGGAAACAGCAGGAGGAAGAAATATTGGGGTTCGTCCGCCGCCTTTGTCATTTACAAAAAATAAAGGCAGGATATGAATTAATAAGTGGTGGTTTTTCTCAGAAATATCATCTGAGCCCTCCCACCCCATGACTTCTCTACCTTTCCAAGCACAGACAGGGATTCTTACCCAGAGAAGCCAGATTCCTGGAATTCTCCAGCATGACTTCTCCGTGGAGAGCTTTTTGGGCAGGGTCCAGCTGAGACCACTCCTCCATGGAGAAATACACAGCCACATCCTCAAAAGATACAACATCCTGAACAAGGAAACAAGTTTCTCTATTAACAGATAATCCAAGAATAATTGCATAGTTTTCTTCCACTAATACAAGGAAAGAGCTTGTAATAACATATGTCTATGGAGAATCTCAGCCAGATTCTCAGCCAGATCATGTCCCAAAGATGCTTTTCAAAAGGCAAAAAACGGTGTATTTCTTTATAATGGTATGTGAGAATGACCCTGGGAGACAGAAGGAACAGCCCCAATGCTCACAACTGTCTGGTCAATGAAATGTGATGGCAAAGCAGGAGGAGAAAGCATCTCACAAAGGATCCCCTCAGAAGAGAGAGGATAGGCTAAGCTGAGCATGAATGTTCAATGACCGGATGTCAAATTTATATTGCTTAGAAACAGCAATTTTATACATTGAACTCTAGAACAAAATGAAATCCATCCAAAATTCATGGACCTTTTCCAATGTTTCTCCTCCTTACCTGAAGTAGAATTTCAGCCAATCCTTCAGCTCCACCACAAAGAGGAGGTGAGTCTACAAATTCCACAGACAGCTTTCTACTCTCTGTGAGACAGAGAAAAATGGGGGAAGCAGATTTTTTAAAGAGATAGATTGTAATGAGGTGCAGCAAAACAATCAGCTAAATGTTGAAATCTCACATCACACATAAAGACCTTCTGTTACCTCGCATGGTGTCCTGACTTTGACCTTTCTGGAAGTTCTCCCTGAATAGAAGCTCTTGAGAGGGTTTGGATGAATCTCTTCCCCCCTTGGGATACTCAGTCGTGGCTTCCAAGGATTTCTGGACATGATGTGATAGGAGAAACAAAGGAAGAGCACAGAGATAGAAATGAATTATCATACTGCACCTTCAAACTAGCAGACCCCAATGCCCATTTCTGAAACCTGAAACAGAATGGAAGAATTGCCCCAAATACATCCTCTGGAAGAATAGAACAAATAGCCTTAGGAGTTAATAATCCCAGAAAACCCAGCCAGAAAGGAATTGACAGATTCAGAGTGATTCTCTTTAGAGCTGCTAAGACTACATTCTCACACCTGCAACTCTTCTTGAATCTTATCCTCCTCCTGGTTTATCAGGAAGCCTTCGGCCAGGGCCACCGCCTGGGAACAGGTCTCCGTTCCACACTCCCGCATCCATTTCTCCATCTCTGGGGGAAGGACAGCCAGGAATTGCTCCAGGACCACCAGGTCCAGCATCTGAGCCTTCGTGTGTCTTTCTGGCTGAAGCCACTGACGGCAAAGGAGGTGAAGCTGACTGCAAACATCTCGGGGACCCCTCCCCTCCTGGAACTGCACATTTCTGAAGTGACAGTATTGCACCTCTGAACTGTTGGCTTCCTGTTCTTGACTCTTCTGCCCAGGACTTGCCCCATTCTTCCCACAGCTTCCAGAGTGAGCAGCTGAAGGGCCTTTTCCAGCTCCTGCATCTGCTGAGCATTGTCCCTCCATCTTCTTTCTGGTCTCTAATCCAGCTCCAAATTGGACTGATGGATCTCCACAGGTCTTCCTAATCACAAGAGGTGATCTCCCAAAGGCCATTCAGCCCTCTTCCCACACAAGTTACTTAGGACTCCAGGGGAACCAGGAAACCTTTCCTACTTATATATCTGAAATGGAAAACGAAAGAAAATTCCAGAAATACAGAGTGACCAACTTCACAACTGAGCACACAGAAAAACCCAAATAAGAAATTCTTATGAACCCACCAATATCTGGGAAGAGGGGGGAAATCTTAGTAGGTAGACTGACCAATATGTATGTGGAAAAATTTTTGTAGTAAGCTGGTTGATCAACTTCTATCAAGGACTAAACAGTTTGGATACATAAAATACGTTTTTGATTTCTAATTTAAATAATTCTGATGGCTGCTTGCAGCTTGAAAACCAACCTCTGTACAATCCAGATCAAAAACCAGTGTTTCTCAACCTTGACAATTTTAAGGCATGTGGACTTCAACTCCCAGAATTCCACAGCCAGCAATGCTGGCTGTGGAATTCTGGGAGTTGAAGTCCACATGCCTTAAAATTGTCAAGGTTGAGAAACACTGTCATAAACGTCTCTGGTCACAAACAGCCATTGAGAAGAACGGCTTTCTAAATCGATTTAATAGGTAAATCAATCAATATTTGAATTCCCAATAAAACTTTAGCCAGCAGAACCCCATTAACCTCCTGGCCCAAACCGCTATAGGTACCTGAGAAGTCACAATCAACAAACCAGCACCCAATGCAAACAGAATAATACCGGAATCAATAAACCAGCTATAGCTTAACATGTTTCAGGCATCTCCTGGAAACAGGATCCCCACTTTTAGCAAAATCCTGAATGGCTCCGACCTTTCTGGCGATCCTGGTTTTCTTCCTGGAGGCAACGCAGCGCGTCCGGAGCTTTGGTTTCTTCCCTGCCTGGCCCGTGCATGCACAGGGGCGGCAGGGGAACATGGGACCCCGGGCTCCCCCCTTTCCACGACTCAGAACCTGATGAAGTTTTACGTCCAGTCCGGGGAAGAAACGTCCTCCCACTTACTGAACTCCGGAGTCAGGTCTTGATCTCCATGCATGCAAGGCTTCCCTTGCAGCCTCTGGGCTTCCTGGAAAGGCTCAGCCTAAGGCTCGCAGCGGGGGGGGCACGGGGGGGGAGGGAGAACTGCAAGAAAGGCGGACGCACTTTCAGCCTTTTCTGCAAAACGCCCCCCTCCTCTCTCCACCTGGGGAAAGAGCGCATGCTCAGTTCACTCCTGAAGGGGGGGCGGGTGAGGGCTTCCCTGCCTTTCCAACGGCTACCCCGGGTGCCCCCTGGTGGATCCTGCGCGCAACGCTACATGGACGCTGCAAGAGCGTAGGGAAGATCCTCATGTTCCATGCGGACCTGGGATGATGGGCATTGGAGTAGAAGGAAAGGGTCCCTCTGACACTGCCTGTCTCGAGCTGGTAGCAATTTCTAGACTTTCCCTTTGTAATGTCTAAGAACGATCTGCGATCTTGTGAATAATGAGAAAATCTCTGTGGAGGCTCAAAAGAAACAGGAGCCTCTCTTTGAAGCCCAGGTTGTGTGGTGTGGTTGTTGGCAAACACAAGCCTGAAGTGAGGGAAGATAAAGGGGAGTGGCAGAGTCAAAGGAGGGGAAGTGAAGGGGTAGGAAAATTAAGATTTGTATTGATTGTTTTTAGTGAGTTCAATTATTACAGCTGCCTTTTCAAATTCATGCCCCTGGGCGGCTAACAGTGGTTCAAAACAGCAAGTGGCAGCAGCAAAAATGAGAATAATCCTGAAGAAATTATCTTGCCAAAGGGTGGAGAAAGCATCTCACAAAGAATCTTCTCAGACGAAAGAGAGTAGGCTAAACTGAGCGTGAATGTTCAGTGAACAAATGTCAAATTTATATTGCTTAGAAACAGCAATTTGATACATATACAACAATATGTTTACTCTTAGAAACCGTGGTCTGTCTTTAAATCCTCTCTGCATTTTTTTCTGTTGTTTTTCTTTATTAATGGACAGCAGGTAAAGCGCTGGCACCTTCCCAACATTGATCTTGGCTTATGCGATGTCACGTTTTACGACCGCATCACTTAGTGATGGGAGTTCTGATCCAGATTCCATTCCTTAACCAATGACTTAACTTGTACAAGTGGTCCTCAGCTTATGATCACAATTGAGCACAGAATTTATGTGCTTAAGTAAGAAATTTGTTAAGTGAGGTTTGTCCCATTTTACGACTCTTCTTACCACATTTGTTAAGTGAATCATTGGCAACGCGCCTCCTTTCCCACCACCCAGCCTGGCCCGGCTTGCCCTCCTGCAGGATTTGGCCCTGGAAAGGTTGTGCCGGCCAGCTGGCCGGGGAGGCCGAGCAGCCCCAGCAAGGGAGCCGCTCCTGCCCTGTGGCCGGCTGGCCAGGAATCCCGTCCGGCTCGGCGGGGAGCTCAGGGGAGCGCCTGACCGTCGCAGGGGTGTCCACGTCAGCTGCTTCCTGGCGGGCCCGCTAATTGTGGGCTCCCGGCAAGCTTCCTCTGTGAGTCAGGCGCCCGGGACTCCGCAGAGCTGCCCCTAATTGCGCCCCATGAGGGCCCGACCGAGCCCCGGCCTGACCTCCGAAATGCCACTTGACCGAATTCTTTCTGCCTCCTGGGGGAAGTTGCACCTCGTCGCCCAATTATTTTGGGCGTCGTGCGTCTAATCACCAATCACATGAAACGTCACACCTTTGACCCGCGTTCCTAGGACAAGAAGCTGGGCATTATTCCAGCGTGGTCATTTAATTTGGATGCTTTTGTTGTTTTTATTGGTTTTGCTGTCATTACTCTTTTAAAAAGTTTTTAGTATTTTTAATTGTAATACATTTTTGAATTGTAAGCCACCCAGAGTCACTGAAAGGGGCAATCAGAGATATTGAGCGGAGAGGAAAGAGAGAGAGAGAGACAGACAGAGAGAGACAGAGAGAAAGAGAGAGAGACAGACAGAGAGGAAAGAGAGAAAGAGAGGGGGGAGAGGAAAGAGAGAGAGAGGAAAGACAAAGAGAGAGGGAGAGGAAAAAGAGAAAGAGAGAGGAAAGAGAGAAAGAGAGAGAGGAGAGGAAAGAGAGAGGGAAAGGAAAGAGAAAGAGTGAGAGGAAAGAGAGAGAGGGAGAGGTGGGGAAATAAATAGAAAGAGAGAGAGGAAAGAGAAAGAGTGAAAGAGTGAGAGGAGAAAGAGAAAGAGAGAGAGAGGAAAGAGAGAGAGAAAGAGAAAAAGAGAAAGAGAGGGAGAGGAAAAAGTGA